ACAGACAGACAGACAGACAGACAGACAGACAGACAGACAGACAGACAGACAGACAGACAAAAGACATTTTCATGATTCTATGAAAATACCAGACTAAAACCAAATTAAATGTATGCTGGGGGAAATAAATGCTAATGCAGAACAGAGAGACAATTGAAAAAATGTAAAAGAAGTGTTACTGTTTGGGATGAACTGGATGAGCAGAAGAACTCCTCCTCCGATTATGAGGAAGATCGACAGAAGTATTCTTCTCGGGCATTTTCTCAGCAGACAGGTAGAAACAACATAGGCAGGMACTTCAGAAATAGCTGATAAAAAACAATTCATGAAAGGGTTGCCACTCAGGTTGGAAGTGTTCAGGGACAAACCAAAGTACCCGATGTTTATTGCCATCCTGAAAAGACAYGAGGAGCATTGTGATGAACAACACAACTGGTTCTTGATTATCTAGTAAATTTACAGAAGCTGTTTTATTTTTGTTCCAAAAACATCTTGTTATTTGGGTTAATTAATTTTTTTTAAACAATCATCAGATGTTTTTATTTTATTGTTCACAACGACTCACCACAGAAGGAGACACATCAGTGTGATACATCTGAGATTATTGGATTTCAGAATATCTATCATGGTGTACTTCCTGCCGGGAGACATCTCCTCAATCTGAAACCAAAGCAATAATATTTATCTGGTTGCATTTTCCAGTTTTAAAAATGAACATCTTAAGTATGTGCAGGTAACAGCTTGGTATATCGGATTCTTTATACAAGTWCCATTCAGTGCCAAGAATCAGCACACCCAGCGCCCCGCCCACACATTCCACCTGGCTAACATTAAACCTAACCTTGACCCAGGTGGTGGGTTGGTGAGGAGAAAAGGTGGGTTGGGGGTGAGTCTCTCTGCTCCGAGCAGAGGAGTTCAAGTTAAGGTTTACTTGTTTTAAAGAAACAAACATCTCAGAAAGTGCATCTATAGTTCATTTCATGCCTGGTGCCTAAAACCACTCCAGATGCAATATTTTTTTCTTTCTTTCTGAAAAGTAAAAATGAAAAGACCTTAATGGTGTTTTTAAGTTTCATGCTTGGAACAAGTAACACAAGTCTCACCTCAGATTCTTTRAAGATCACCGGTGGTGCCTGCACCTTATTTTTATTCGCAGCAGCCCGAAGGATGAGCTCCGCCTCTGCTGCTCTTCCCTGAGTGATCAGCCACCGAGGCGACTCTGGGATGAACCTGCAAGATCAGTGTTTATTTCCTTCTTTTTTTCATTTGCATGTTCAKGTRTTCACTGAATATTAGCTGAGAAATCAGTGGCAAACRTACCACCACAGTGGGATGTACACAATAGAAGTCGCTGACAGAACAGCGAGCAGCGTTCTCCATTCTCTGATGCCGTACGCGATCCAGGGAAGAGTCATGTACCCGAYGCAGTAAAACAGGAAGGCCCCGAGAGTCGTGAAGAGAACTCGCATGGTTTTACTCAACAACTCCGTACCTTCCAAAGACAAAACCACAAATATTAAATTACAGCAACACAACACATTAAAAAAATTATCCTTGTGATATTTCACCTTTGGTGGCAGGTGATAAAAACTTTGTCTGCACATCAAACTTTTCTGTATCCTCATWTGACTGTTCATTTAATGTTGGAATAATACTGGGTGAATGATGTGTTTACCTAAAACAAATGCAGAAATGTAGATGGATATCTGAGAGGCTCCAACAAAGAGGAACATGATGCAGAACATCCTCCATGACTGAGAGAACGACTGAAGGAGAACAGAGAGGGACTGGGCTGCCAGAGAAATGAAAACAACCTTCTTCCTTCCAAACCTGAAGGAAACAAACAAGCTTACCTTTAACAGTGAGAAACAGATGCAGAGTATAAGACATAAGAAGAACTATTTATTTTGAATAACAGAAATAAAAATTGCAACATGTGGCTTTTTTTCAAGGAAAAACTCTCTTACTGAGCACCAATGTGATGACATTCATGCTAATTTCCCAATCAAACACCCAGTTCAACATGAGATGGCGCTGTTGCTTTAATTATAATCTGATCTAAAACATCCACTGAATAAAATATCGTGGATTCAACTTTAATGAGCTAAATCAAAAATCCATTTTCCAAAAGCAACGACCTCCAACAGATTATAACTTTTCTCATTTGTTAGATAGAATAAAAGATCTATGAAAAGGGAATTCGAGTAATTTTATTCACATTTTAAATGGTAATTAATGTGAAATACCTGTCAGATAGTTGCCCTGAGATTAGGGAACCAAGAAGGTATCCCACAAAAAGAGTTGAGGATGCAAATGGAACTTTCCATTTGTTGTCACAAACAAGGTCCCACTGTGAAAGATGTGAAATTTAGTTTAAAAAATCACTCAAATTTTTAAAAACCTACATTCTCATACTGACCTCAGTGACTATAGTGTACTGGTAGATGTCTTTGCTGTAGTTCCATCCATCTAAACATCCTTCCTGCTGCAAATCAGTGAGGTTAACATCCCGTCCAGGAATATATCCCTGATCAGAGAGATTTTTAACCACATCCAGCCTATATCTGCTGCACTGGCTCTGAAGGTGCTCACCCCCCACTGTTGTTGTGAAGGGGATGATGGCACTTCTCCACTCCTCAGTCAGGTTGACGTCTGGAACAAGACAGTGGTGTTTCGGAGCTGCTCCAGCAAAAATGATGTAAAGTCCATTGAATCCAGTTGACACAAAAACTGTATTTAATAGGAAGAAAGTGGTCCAAAAGTAAGGACCCATTTGTCCGAGAAAAGCAGTTTCCTCATCATAGTCTCCCATTATATTAAAAAATATATTTTTTAATTCCTGAATTTAAAAAAAAAACACCTCCTCTGCTCCTCAGAGTGCAAGACGTGGTGTTCCTCTTTAAGTCCTCAGCTCAGTGCCAGAGTTCTAGGGTCAAACTCTCTGTGGGGTACAGTGAACTGGTCCCTCTGTGGGACGGAGTCAGAAATGAAAAATTTCCATTTCAGGTCCTRTGAGAGTATTAAACCCCCCACTTTCAGGAACAGAAACTTCTACCATGAATTGAAAAGCTCCTAAAATCTAGCTGACCCTTTTTCTCACTGGTTTGAATAATCTAAAGCTTTAGAGCACCCAATCTACTGTAGGCATCCAGCCCTAATAGCACTAATGTGGTATTTTCTCTAAACAGCATTCCGCACTTATAAATGCTGCAAAGAAGTCCGCATGACTGTACTCTAAATGTTGCTAAGTAGCATTAAGTCTCCTGCTGGACTATTTTGACACACACTGTAGAGGCAAACATGCCTTTATAGGACACTCAGCAGAAACAGTCATGTTTGTTTTACTATCTTTAAGATAAACCGTTTACTCACATGATCTGTGAAAAACCGCAAGTATTTCGAAAACATTTCCAGCCCGTTGCATGAATATGTTCCCCGCACTCCCCTCATGTGCAAAATGGTTACATTTTTAATTTTGGAACTTTAAAAAAAGGCTTCACAGTGAGCAGATGTGGGTATTTCTGATCACAGATCGGGACAGAGAGTTTGTGGAGGGATGGAGAACTCAGTGCCCTTCACAGCAGGCTCTGCAGCTGTCTTTCATAATACAGTTCACACAATCAAGGCCATGCTGGATACATTTTCCTTTTTTTTTTGTTGCATTATTGAGATAAAAAGCAGTTCCGACAGGGTCTGATAAGATTACTGTCTATGTTGCTCATCAAATTTTATCATTTTCTAAATTTGAATTTTTTTCCCCAAAATTCCAGATGAGTAGTTACCACAAAGTTTGTTACTGTGATGTCTTGTTCATCATGTCATATCTTACTTTTTTTTTCAAATGTCAAACTAAATTAAGGTCTTCAGCCTTTGTGTAATCAGCTTTAAAACCAAAATTGTTTTGTGAATCTTTGCAGTTCACAGGCTCCAGATGGGAAAAATTCAAAAAAGAAAAGCTTAGTCAGAATTCATGTAAAATGAAACAGGATCTTTGTGCATGAGATAAACTTTAAGTTTTATTTGTTGTTGGGATTTCTTGGCACATTAAGCAGTTCCATTCTTTGCCTGCATGCAACATCAGCGTTGACAGAGTTAATCAGTTTAATCACTGCACAACGAACGACAACACTGTATTAACTGTGCAAAAGAATTTAAAGGCTTGTTAACATTGTTTCCCCTCCCCTCGCAGGAACTGTGATTTTTTGTGACATTTATGTTTCAGATGTTTAACAAGTATAATTTAACTTCATAACAGTCTTTGGTCCACTGGTGGGCAAAAACAGTCAGTTTTCTGCCTTTAAACGTTTCCAGATGGGGCTGTTTCTTCTGAAGGGTTCTTACCTTTAGCATAAAATAAGCACCCTTACATAAAATAAAAAAAAGTCAAACGGCTTTAAAGGAATTTCAGGCACAACTGTTGGGGTTAAGCTCATTTTATTGACTCAATAAACTCAACTGTAGCAGATTTATTTCTCAGATGTCTGCAGTGGGGAAAAACTAACTTGTGATACGACTGKTTTACAGAATGAAGAAGACAATCAAAATTAATTTGCAACACTGAAGAAAGTTTTCTACAGCACATACCAATGATTATCTGGTGGCTTTAAAGGGATGGGGTGTTATTATGCAACATCAACTTTTTTAAGCATTATAACATGTTATAATGTCATTCCCTCATCAAAAACATATTGCTTTGACTCATTCATCYATGTTTGAGAAATCCTTGAATCTCCTGAATCTGCCTAAACAATTGCTGGTACAAAGCACCACCTATTTKCTCAAAGCTCCTCCCATGAAGCTCAGTCCACAGAGCATTTATAATTATAATTTCTTTACAAAACGTAGCTTAGCATTGACATTTCTGTATGAGAGTGTGACTGAGTGATATTATGAAGCTGGAACATCKTGTAAGAGCCTCTGTACTCACTCCAGTTCTTCAAAAAACACATTTTCTGGGTCTAACATGGGATCATTCATGTAAGGTTCAAATGTATCCTGAGTTGCCATTTTCCAAAACAGATATTACCGTATTTACAGTGGGGTGCAAAAGTTTGGGCATCCTTGTTAATTTTGTTTGGATTTAAAAAAATCTGTAAAATATATCATATAGGGGACAAACACAGTGATATTTGAGAAGCAAAATGAAGTTTATATGATTTAAAGTAAGTGTGCAATAATTGGTTAAACAAAATTAGGCAGGTGCATAAATTTGGGCACCATAAAAAAACCTTAACTTAATTCTTAAAACTTAATAAAATCCTCCTTTTGCAGAAATAAYAGCCTCTAAACGCTTCCTAYAGCTTCTAATGAGAGTCTGGGTTGTGGCTGAAGGTATTTTAGACCATTCTTCTTTACAAAACATCTCTAGTTCATTCAAGTTTGATGGTTTCTGAGCATGGACAGCTCTCTTTATGTGACACCACAGATTCTCWATWATATTCAGGTCTGGGGACTGAGATGACCATTCCAGAATGTTGTATTTGTTCCTCTGCATGAAGGCCTTAGTAGATTCTGAGCAGTATTTAGGGTGGTTGTCTTGTGGAAAGATGCAGCCCCGGCTTCAGCAGCTTCAGCTTTGTCACTGATTCCTGGACATTGGTCTCCAGAATCTGCTGATATTGGTTGGAATCCATGCGACCCTCAACTTTAACAAGATTCCCTGTCCCTGTACTGGCCACACAGCCCCMCAGCATGATGGAACCAGCCCCWCATGTTACTGTAGGTAGCAGGTGTTTTTCTTGGAGTGCTGTGTTCTTTTTCCTCCATGCRTAAAGGCCCTTGTTCTGCCTAAATAACTCTATTTTAGTTTCATCAGTCCACAGCACCTTATTCCAAAATGGAGCTGGCTTGTCCAAATGTGCTTTAGCATACCTCAAGCAGCTCTGTTTGTGATGTGGGTGGAGAAAAGGCTTCCTCTGCATCACTCTCCCATACAGCATCTCCTTATGTAAAGTGCATTGAATAGTGACTCCATCAGCAGCAAGATRATGTTGTAGGTCTTTGGTGCTGGTCTGACTCTGACTGTTCTCAACATCTTTCGCTTCTGTTTATTCCAGATTTTTCTTGGTCTGCCACTTCGATCCATGACTTGAACTGTGCCTGTGGTCTTCCATTTTCTCACAGTGGAGACTGAAAGCTCAAATCTCTGAGATAGTTTTCTGTATCTTTCCTCAAAATCATGACGGCAAACAATCTTTGTTTTCAGCTCATTTGACAGTTGTTTTGAGACTCCTATGCTGCGAATCTTCAGAGAAGATGCAAAGAGGAGAAAAACATACAACTGTCCCCCACTTAAATACCCTTTCTCATAATTGCAGTCACCTGTGWATGGAGGTCAAGGGTCACTGAACTTACCAAACCAAATTTGARTTCCAATAATTAGTTCTAAAAGTTTTGAAATCAATAAAATGACAACAGTGCCCAAATTTATGCACCTGCCTCATTTTGTTAAACCAATTATTGCATACTTTCTGAAAATCATATCAACTTAATTTCACTTCTCAAATATCACTGTGTTTGTCCCCTATAAGTTATATTTTACTGATATTTTTTTATCCAAACATTCAATGATTTATAAAGAAAATATCAGGAAAATTAACAAGGCTCCCCAAACTTTTGCACCCTACTGTTAATGTTCCTACTAAAGGTTGTATGGCATTAAGCGTTGTTGTGATGACGTGCTGAAGTGGGAGTTTCAGAAATGGTAGGAGATTCTTAAAGAAACAAAGAGCAATTTCAAGGCTTTTCGATAGACTATGACGCAAAGTCAATTTTTTAAAACATACACAACATTTTTTAACAACTGAAAGAAACAGAGTTTCTTGTTTGTGAAATATAATTAAACTGTGCGCMTGAAGAATACATAACCCCCTCCCCATAAGATCTGTCTTTTGTAATGTTCAGTACATGTTTGAAAGTAATGCATCATGCTTCCTGAGTCATTCTATTCACAGTGAGTCTGGTGAGTGGTTTGGTTTGGGCAGCACGTGAGATCTTTCCCCTTTTATTTGGCTGATAAGGACACAAACAAAAAAAGATTGGATCTTTAAATAGCTGATCCCACTTCATCATTAATTTAAAATTGTGGAATAAGAAACATCTGATTCTGCTCACCTGATTACATTTGCAAACAGACAGAGTCCATAGGAATCTGTGTAATCATTAACATGTGCGTCAGCTCCAGATTTTTCTGGTCTGATACGGAGGATCATAGTGCACACAGTCAGGGGGATCTAATGACCATGTGCTTGTGAGAGAGGAGCACATGAAGGCAATCAACACATACTGAGAGGGTTGTAGGTTCTGTGCTGGGTTACATAAGAGCATTTTTTACGTCTTAATATCTGTCACATCTAAAAACAGATTAAATCAATTACTGAATGAAAAGGGTGCAGAACGAAGAAAACAGAATCTTATATTTCTACTTTTTCTAAAGTTTTGAGGGGAAAGAGAAAAACACTGTAACTGTTTTAAAACTGTTTGCATTCAGTAAAAAAAATCTTCATCTAGGCTGAAATGGCTTGAAAAGCATTTTTTTTAAACTGCACAAAATTTACCACCATGGAAAACATAAATAAATAAATAAATAAATAAATAAATAAATAAATAAATAAAAGTTTTTGATTACATTTCAAATAAAGCTAACTCATGCAGTGTAAACAATTCACAATAATGTAATCTGTCAAAAGCTTTGGGTTAATTTAAGAAAAAAACACCATAGTGATGATTCTGTTTTGTCCATTAGGTTTGCCACAAAAGGGGGCCAGGAGTGGGTCATGGGGGTGGAGAGTGTTGGAGGGGCAACGGCCACCTCTTCAAATCGCTTTTGCCAAATTCTTAGTGTAAACATTTGATGCATTTACTAAGCTTTGTCCTGAATAAACTTGTGTTTTTGAAATATGCGAATCATTCATTTGTTTTTCTTTCCATTTTAAACAACTTTTCTTTTTCCTGTCTTTCACAATAAACTCAAACTGTTTGGTCCAAATCCTTTATGAAACCAGYTAGTTAGCATGTGAAAAAAGCACTTATCTGATTTTTAAAATTATTTTCTGAAACTGCCTGCAAACAAGTCATGACAAGTTCAGTCAAGTTGGAATGCTATGCTTTTATTGCTGTGCCTTGAGTTTGTTCCCTAAAGACCTCCTGAAATGGAGGATATCAGTAAAACAGTTAGGGTTAGGGTTAGTCAACATATTACCCAGTTTCTTAAGTAATCACGACAGAGATGTCTGTTTTCCATTGTGAAGCATAATTCTGATTCGTATTGTTTTTCAATGTAATCACGCCCTCAGTAAACATCAGTTTCATAACAGATTGTGACCCAACTTATCTTCATATTGTTCTGCAAAGACTTATTTTCCAAACTAAAAGGAAATACAAGGACAGATATAAAAAGATGTCAGTTTGGTTTATGACTTTGGGGAGGAATCCTGGTCACATGACTGCATGACTCGAAAGCTAAAAAAGCACCRTTAGAAATTAGAGAATTTATTTATTTTTGTCATCCTTTGTAGAAAACCATTTGGAGATCTATGGTGTCCTCCAAGACGTCTTAAGTTGGTGMCTTTTTTATGAATTAACAGCAATAAAAAAAAAACAATACAGTTTAAACATTTTCTGTGTTTGTGTTTTTTGGCAGCTGATAAAAACCATGGCCTAGTCCAACACAGGCAATGCCACAAAATAAAAACCAGGGGATGGGACATTCTGTCTTCTTTTTCTTTTTCAAAAACCTAAATTGTCTGCAGGTTGTTATATTAACTAAACAAGATAAGGCTGCAATTGTTGTCTTCAGATATCATACTCTTCAGTGTGTTCGCTATGTCCTTGACCCTTGTAATCCTCTCTGTTCTTCCAATGTTAGGAACCCTGGAGAGTTTTAATACACTTTTTTTTATTTAAGAAGCATTAGCCAACATTAATCAAATCAGTTTTTATCAGTTATATCAAATTGCCAAAGTTAAATCATGTTTTTTATAACCAACATTTGTGGCTATCTAGGAAGTTCAAGGCCACATAGGGTTTAAATAAAAAATATGAATACATATTTGGAAATTTTAAACAAAAGAACACTCAGACAGTGATAAAACCAGATAAAAATCTACAATAATGAGTTGTAATAAGAGTTAAAGACTTTATAAGAACAGAGGAACAGGATCTTCTTTATTGATCCTCGCAGGGAAACGGGTTCATCCCAGTAGCAAACAAGTTAAAAATGAAAARCATTAAATTTGTCACTCATAACAACAAAACATTAACCGTTAAATGCAACACAGAGGTGGCACAATGTTGGGTACAGTTTTTACATATTTACAGGATGGCAGAGTATACTGTCTGCAGTGTTTGTGTTCATCTGTTAGAGATGAGCTGTTTAAATGTATGAAAGAGTTCTCTAAAGTGAAATAATATCCTTTGGGCTCAAACACTGCTACTTTACATGCAGCCAGTGGCCTTTCCAAAAATGCATTTGAGGAAATGTTATCGGTTTGAACAAAATAAACTATGGAACAATTTTGGAGAGGATGTTGCAGAGGGGCACAAATGCTGAGCAGGAAATGGTGACAAAGGACTGAAATCTATTTCTGAACAGGTCATTTTACAAGTTCCACATTCTAGATTAGATTGTGACCCCAAAACTGTAGAAAGACCTTCAATAGTCAATGAAATGTTTTCTCTACTGAGGTTTTTGAAAAGCAGCTTAAGACATTTATTTTCTCTTGTTTTGAAATGAATGATTTAAGTTTTTTTTTAAACTAATATGCCATTTATTGTCTTTAGCCTACTATATATCTTTGTTGTTTATTTGGCATTCTTTAGGGATTGTATGACACCTTGGTCAACTCTGGTTGTTTTAAATAATTCGATTTGATTMAAAAGAAACAGAAAACAGTCTAAACCAAATGAACCATTATTTTTTGATAAGCCCACAAAAACGTAACTAGGAAGAAACGAGGAGCTAAATGTCTGCTGATGAGCAGGTCAAGTGTAATTATTGTCAAACAGCAGGTGAGGGAGGCAGAAGACAAGACAAACTGAAAGAGATTAAAGAATCACAAAAATATAACCAAACATGAGGAGTGCTGCAGAAACAAATTATAAAACAGCAATAATAGAAAACAGATAGATTAAAAATAATCTATATAAAGCCAACATGGGCACTGCAGAAAGTGAAATTTACTAAAGGCTATTTTTTGTGTGTGTTTTGAACCAAATTGTGACTTAGATAGCATTATTTTTATATAAGCTTATTTAGATTTATAAAGAAGCTTATTTAGGACTTTAAAAATCTGTTTTATATTCTGTTCCTTGTTTATGACGTTTGAGCAAAAATGATTATAAAGGATTTTAGGGAAATGGTTCTGTAACGTTTAAAAAACATAATTTTATGTTTTGATTAATAAAATAAGATTTTATTAAATACTTTAAGCTGACAAGGTCTACATTTGAAATAAATAAAATGAATAAAAAAATCAGTCATTTATTCCAGCAGGAGGTGAGTGGGATGGATTAGAAATTGAAGCACAACATGATGAATCACCAACCTGAAGTACTTCATTCGCGTCTCTGCCCCACCACCTGCAACATGCTCACGGAGCCCAGTTCCTCCTCAGCCAACAAAGTCACTGATTATGAAAACGCCACGGCCTTCCTCGGACAGTGGGGACGCTTCCAGCAGACCGTCTTCTTCCTSCTCGCCGCCTGCGTCATCCCCAACGGCTTCCTCGCCCTGTCCTTCGTCTTCATGGCGGACACGCCGGCTCACCGCTGCCTCCTGCCCGCTCACCTGAACCTGACCGCGGCGTGGCGGAACAGCAGCGTCCCGCTGGAGGTGGATGGGAGCGGCGGCGCGGAGCCGGTGCCCAGTAAGTGCTCCAGATACAAACTGGACTCTGTGCTGAGTTACTCGGAGAGAGGCTTGCTGCCCGGAGTTGATGTGAATTTGTCCAGCGTGCCGACAGAAGGCTGTTTGGATGGATGGGAGTTTGACCACAGCGTGTACACATCTACCATCGTGTCTGAGGTGTGTTCACCTTGCTGCTGCTGCTGATGGAGCACAGTCCTGAGGCCTGGTGGTGGGATTGGTTACGCGTAAAAATGGAAATCCTTTTGAACTATTAGTTTAAATAAGAGGAAAGCTTTCTAAACAGTAATGTTAATTGGTAAGAAAAACAAAACAAAGTTATACTTGTAGGACCACTTACTGGGATTTATTTGAGTTATTTCTTAGATTTTTTTAAAACGCAATAATAATATATTTCAAACAGCTTTGAAAAACCATGTAGTCAAATCTGTGTGCATTTTTTTTTTTTTTTTTTTGCAGTGGAACCTGGTGTGTGACGAAAGCTGGAAGAAGCCCCTCACCTCTTCCTTCTTTTTCTGTGGTGTTCTCGCTGGCTCCTTCATTTCTGGACAAGTTTCTGACAGGTCATGAGCAAAAGATTTGTAGTTAAAAAATGGCACCTCCTGTTTACTTTGCAATTTTGGTGGACATCTAACAAAACAGAATTGATCGAAATGATTCTAACATAAGAGGCGTGAATGTAAAAGACAATAAGTTCTTGTTAGAATATGTGTGCAAGCAAGTAGACAAAAAATACACCAGCATCATAAAAGCTTTCCATGCAGAGTTTTTACTTTGGGTATGTCTTTTGGAAAACCTGAAGCTATCTTAACATTAAAGGCATAATTTATTCCAAATAATATGCAGAACACTAAAATCTGACTCATGCAACACTATTTCATTTTGCTGTAGGACTAAAAGTCAGTGGGGAAAAGTTGAATTACAAGTAGAGGGATGAGTGACTTAATGTCTCTTATTGCAACATCACAAAGAAAACAAAACCAGAGCCAGGGCTTACCTATATTTCATCTTTTCTTTGTGCTTTTTGTTTGTTTCAGATTTGGGAGGAAAGTTGTGCTGTTCATATCCATAGCGCTACAACCTGTCACCTCCATCATCTTGGTTTTCTCTCCAAACTGGGTTACCTTCTGTGTTTTGTATTTCCTGCTTGGATTGGAACAAATTACCACTTATGTGGTTGCATTTGTGTTAGGTACCTTTTCCGAAATGTCCAAATCATTCATTATGMAATGGCATGTACTGTATATATGAACCTGTTTGTCAAATTTTGTTTTAAGGGACTGAAATATTGGGTCGATGGGCCCGAACAATTTTCTCCACGGCTGGAGTGAGTCTCTTCTTTGCCATTGGCTACATGCTTCTGCCGCTGTTTGCTTTCTGCATCAGAGGCTGGAGGATGTTCCTCCTTGGGCTCACGGTACCCGGCTGCTTCCGCATGATTTTCTGGTGGTAGGTAGGTGTGTGTTTGTGTGTCTCTTTTACATATTTTTCTACTGCCTRCACTGCAAAAACTGTCCATCTTATCAAGTTTTAAAATCTTATATCCAGCCAAAAAAATCTATGTGATCTTGTTTTGAGACTGATTTACTAAACAAGAACTGATTGTGTCAGAATAGTCATCTTGTTTTCAGAATGTGTAAGATTATTTGTCTTGTTAGTCTGAAAATTTAACTCGAATTAAGTCAAAAATTTCTGCCAATGGAATAAGAAAACTTTACTTTGTAAGATTCTTGAAATACGAAAAAACTAAGTCAAATCAAGTATTTTAAGAATCTTACAAAGTAAAATTTTCTTACTCCACTGGCAGATTTTTTCACTTAATTTGAGTCAAATTTTCAAGCTAACAAGACAAATAATCTTAGACATTCTGAAAGCAAGATTATTATTCTTACACAATCAGTTCTTGTTTAGTAAATCAGTCTCAAAACGAGATCAACAAGACTTTCTGGCTGGATATAAGATTTCAAAACTTGGTTAGGTGGACAGTTTTTGCAGTGTAAGTGACTTGCCTTTCATATTTATTTATTTATTTATTTATTTATTTATTTATTTATTTATTTATTTATTTATTTATTTATTTATTTATTTATTTATTTATTTGTTTATTTATTTAAACTAGTGTCCTTTGGCAGTTGTAATGGAATAAATATTTCTGGTCAAGTTCCTCTGAAAATGTAAAAATGTCTTTTGCCCCCCTACCAAACTGGTTCCGGTGCTATTTAGGAGCTGATACTTGCTTAGCACCAGTGGTGTTTTTCCAAAGTTTATATATTTATAGAGCTCTGACATGAACCTTCCTGTAGGCTAGTTTAAGTGCATACGGGCAAATTTAGAAAAGTGCACTGCACCAAAAAATTCAGATGCATAAAACCGTGCGCACGATGGTTCCTGCGCTCCTTTCCTTTATACATCCCAATGAACGTGGAAGTTAGCGCACGTGAGACACCTCCCCTGACACGCCTCCATTTAAAWATGTAAAATAGATGTAAATGTGTCCAGCGTGTGAGATTCTCCTCRGATTGTCCTCTCTGTGGGATCAGAAATGATTTTTAGATGCTGGAAAATTATACATTAAATGGAAAATGAGTGAGAAAACGGTCTAAATAAGTAGTGCGCTGTCATTGTTTCATGTGACGCATTCGCACGGGATAACCAAAGCCTGAGAATTTCCTGAAATTTACAGACATCTCCTGAATGTGATATTGAAGCCTGGTTAGTTGTTGTCTATTTAGTTGAACATGGCATTGAACGGATGTTAAAAAAACAAACAAAAAAAAGCCATCAAGTTATCTACTTTTTCTGCTCTCCTTTCCTCCCGTGTTACAGCAGGCGCTGTCATCTCCATGGATGCCAGATCCCCACCCCACCGCCACGTGCGGGTATGAGTGGTAGCCTACGGATTTTTAGCAAAAAATATAGATTTTTGAGGCTCATGTCCAAAGGGGTTCACACATATGAACACCTTTACAGCTGGCGAGGGTGCGTGCGCCTGGCACGAATAGCTACCCAAAAGCGCAAGCCTGCTGCGCTATGGTCACAACTCCACACTCAGCATCAGCCAGAAGGCTACACACAGAAAAAAAATAATTATTCTTACCGTACAGTGAGCCACCATTTGCATCCGATTTTGCACCCTCTCTTCAGYCTTTTTTATTTTATTATTTTTTTATGCCACACGTAATGTGTCTGGTTTTTCCGGCCCGGGACCCAAAAGGTTTTCAACTATGTGACAAAAATATAAAAACAGTTTACAGTAGACTGGGCTGAGGTTCTTTTGATCATATTTAGGCTGATGTATGAGGTTAAATGATTTTCAGTCCCGGGGTTCAGTTTCATGATCGTTCGAGTTTAAACAATAACAATTCAAACTAAAATAAAAATCTAACACCGTGTTCAGACGCTCCGTCCTTACACACAGAAAACACAACAGAGTCATATTTCTGAGGATTCAGGTCAGATTCATGACTTTGTGGGTTAAAACTGTCGGCTGAAAAACTTTGCGTGGTTGCTGCACATTCTCACGGCATGTGAAAAGTGTGTGTAAATATACACAGACTTTCACGCAACGTTGGTTTTAATACATCCCAACGTGGGCGTAGAAMCTGGCRCACGCAACTTTTCTGTRCRTAYGCACCATTTATACATGAGGCCCCTGGTTGTTGAAAACTGATTCCAGTGCAAGTTCAGAGCTCAGAAAACTCCTTTCATGAGGTGCTGGAAGCAAGGTTAGGTTAATGAATACAGTCAACAAAAATGTTGTTAAGGGTTAACATTAACAGTCTCCAGCTTCTCTTGGGGAACCCCAAGGCTTTTTTTTAATGATGATATGAACATAACTTTAGACTGACCAGAAACAGACAGCAAAAAGATGCAGACGAACAAATTAACAGAGACAATACAAACAAAAAAGCTTAGATAAAACAATTTAGCAAAACAAATCTAGATAACTGCCAGCCCAGACTGTATCACTGATGTTCCTACCAGTCGGCTGTTCTGTTGTTTTGTCTATAACAATATATCAAAAAATAGTAATCACATTTACAAGGCAACACGGTACACCATGTAATGAGGACAAGACCTGTTAACAAAAATATGTCTGCCTTGACAAGGACAATGAAGTAATCAGTACAATGTTTGACAATCTTATTAACTTGAGGGACCATTTTTTTTACTTATTTTCCTCCATTCTGGCGTAAAGCCAGATAGTAGTAGCCAGAGAGAGAGAGGAATGTTTGAACTTTACTTATTTTGCCCTGCTTTTATAAACAAACTTCATAAAAGCAGATACAAATGGTTGAATGTAACTCCTGTTTGAAGATATTGATCCAATTAAACAACTGCATTGGATTTTATAGATGCTCTGAACAGCTTTTGTTTTTATTTTGGAGGGTCTTATTTCTTTGTTCAGTCATCAAGTTGTTACATACCTGTATTCCTCCTCTTAAGTATAGCATGTGAAACTTTCTATTTAATATCAGTTTGTTTCAAGTGAAGAGTTTCTATTAGGGTAGAATAAAAGTCGATTTAAGGGGCATTTAAAGGGCTTTGTGACTGGGGTAGAGAAAGTTGCAGAAGCTTCATGTCATAAACGCACAGAGGGACAGGCAGATATTCTTGAGTAATGGCAACTTAAGGGTTAACATGAACTCTGTACTTTTCGTAGTGATTTTAGTTTGAATTAAGTTTTGATTTCTAACACTTAAGATAATAAAAAAAATTCTTTCATACGAGGACTTCATTTTGACTCACTTCTCTAGCAATTTCCTTCAGTTCACTGAGGTTTGTTAACAGATATTTGTTCGTGAAGTTGTTTTTGTTTGGTAGGATTTCATCAGATCATTTCTGTTGGGCTATGGTCTGGACTTTGAGCTTTTGCAACACCTTCCTTGATCTTTTTTTTCCCAGCCTGTTGAGAAATTGTTGCTGTGCTTGGGTTTTTTAAATCTTATTTGCCAGTTTTCTGCCAATCATCAGCATTCTTCACATCTGACTCTAAAAACCTCTGTATGCAGACTGAATCTGCTGTTTTTGATTTTTTTTTTTTTAACAAATGACATTGTGTATTATGGACAACCAAAGAACACCTCTCCATGAGTTCATTCAAATAAAGTCTTGCAAACTTCAACTCTTTTTAAAGTATTTTCTTCTGACACGCCATACTTGTTCAGCCTATTTGCTTTTAACACCCTAAGGCCTGTTGAGTCATAAGTTTTGTGTTTTTGCAAATTATTTGAGCATTGTAGAGTCTAATCCTCAGGTCACCTTGCTGGTCGATTAACTTTTCAGTTGATTGCCTGTAGTTTTTCTACTTTTTCACAATAAACAATCATATTTCCAGTAGAATGACTTCTAGTTCTTCTAGTCCAGGGGTCTGCAACCTGTGGCTCTGGGGCCGCATGTAGCTCTTTGGTCCCTCTGCAGTGGCTCTTTGAAAGCGTGACCAAACATAACAGAGTATTTTTTTGTTTTGTTTTATTATTTTAGACTCACAACAGAAATCAATTTGTATGCAAATATGTGATCAATACTACTAATACAAAAAGTAAAACATGTTAACTCACGCTGTTGTTTACTTAAATAATCAATTTTCTTTCTATGATCTTTCTCTCAAATCCATCAGAATTACCTTTAAAGAATTTGAARACTACATAATAACAAGAATTAGGAAAAAGTATGTCGAAATAGTTAGGTTTACTAGTTTTTTGAAATTCGGTATAAACTATATACAGTATTTTTTCTTGTTTAATGGTCTTTTCATTTGTCCTGAAGTATAAAAATAATAATACAATTCACAACATATTTTTTAGTTTTATAATGTCACCTCCACTGGCCATAAAGGTTCCCAAAAAGGCCTCAAAAAGGCCCATGGACCCTCATTTGGTAAACACAATTGTAGCTTGTTTTGTGGCTCTGGACACATTTTATTYGTGAGACAAGCAGCAGAAATGGCTCTTTTGATCATAGAGGTTGCAGACCCCTGTTCTARTCAGGTGACTTTTGTAACATTTCCCAGATTTGTAGGTATTGTTTATGATTTGTTATAGTTTATTGCTGATGTCTTTCTTGTTGTTTTTCACTGTTGCCCAATGAGGCAGGTTTATCCCAGAGTCTCCTCGGTGGCTGATCTCTCAGGGAAGAATAAAAGAAGCTGAATCCATAATCAGAAAGGCTGCTAAGATGAACAAAGTTGAGCCACCAGCGGCCATCTTTACTCCTTTACAGGTGAGAGCATATAGTCTGCTGGCTACATTTAAGCTGTTTATCAGAGTTGTCGTTATTGTTCTATCTGTAAATATTAAAGCAGAGTTCTACTTATTTTGAAAAGCAAACATTTCTCGCCTTTTTAAGTTGTCCTGTATCAGTACTTCAATTGCATCTGGCTTAACTTACAGTGCAGTAAAGCTTWTTTTGTTTCTGTAACATTTTGTTCCCCAGAGCACAGAATCAGAAACATTTTTACCTTCCAGTTGGAGAGAGTCAAGCAGGACAAACCCTTTCATGGATCACTGCTTGGATACTTTTGTTTTCATGTGTTCAGCATGAGTGCACGATCAGGAATGTTGTCGGTAGACATTAAGATGTTCTACACCCCCATCTTTACCCCCTCTCTTTTTTCACAGAAAAACGTGACAAAAATATTTTCAGTTTTTATAGCTGATAAATGAACGGTTGTTTCGTACAACTGCTGCAAAATCTTTGGCTTCTTAAAGGATTAAAATACATAAATGATTTAAAGGGCAAAATGTTATTTTTGCTTTTAAGAAAGGCAAATAAACATGCTTTATTCCATTATTACTTTAAAGTGTGTGTTTCCCTATCCTTTAAAGCAGAAATATAGAAGTGGTAAATGTAGTCTGGGAATCATTTGTGTATATTTTTAAAGGAATGCGATTACTCTGCAAATGTAACAACTATCACAACTGGATTAGCCTGGTAAAAACCAGACCCTTGTCCTTCACTTTGCTTCGTACGAGGGTCTGGACTCGCGGTCATAGAGAAGCAATTCTTGCTGGAGGCGTGGCCTCTGCTGAAGTTTAAAATGATTGGATCGGTTGGCTGTGACGTATGTCGCTGTGAAGGAGGCTAAGCTAAGAAGCTTACTGGATATTGCATGCGCTATAAACAACCCTACTGAGAGGTGAAAAGTACAGAGCTGAACAAGATGACTGTAAATGCTGTAAATGCTGCTGCTTTGTCAGAAAACTTTAATGTAATTTAGAAGCCTTATCAACACGGACTGGCTTCATTCACTTCCTCCACTGCCATTGCTAAACTAACTAGCAGACACTGCGCAGAAAATCGACATCGTTCAAAACTTCGCCTTCTGTGTGCTGATTGGCTCAGGTAAAATAAACTACAAGTAGACACTGCGCAGAAAATTGACGTTCTGTTCTCTGATTGGCCCAGATGAAAATTCTCCCGAAGAAATCCTTGTCTATGGGAGAAATCCCAGATGGAGCAGTGAAGCAAAACTAGAATTGAGCGGAACTGCATAGGAAGGCAAGTGCCAGGCTACTACTGGACTAATTTAGGTTTTACCTGTCTGACAGAGGTTTCTCTGCCAGACAGGTAAGAATCTGTTTCCTCCTCCTGCCCTCTCCCCCTCACATGTGGAGTTCCCCAAGGATTAATTCTTTGACCCCTTTTATTTGCCATCTATATGCTACCTTCAGTCTCCATTTTGAGAAAAATCAACACCTTGCTTCATTCCTGTGCTGATGACACTATGCTGCACCTAGTCAAAGTGCAGTCAATTGCCTTATGGACGTGAAAAGTTGGATGACATCAATTTTTCCAAAACTTTCAGTGAAAATAAAACTAAAGAACTGCAGCATGTCTGTTTGAAACAAATCTGTCAATAATAAAGACTTTTYTCTGTGCAAACACACATCCTACATTCCTTATAGTTAATGGATCTTCAGCTGGGCTAAATTACTTATCTCTCAACCAACATGAGTTTGAAAAGGAAATACTTCTAAGTTCTAAATGCACAGAGAAGTTTCCTTTTTTTTTGCTGTTCAGGTGCTTTACCTGGATTGATAGTCTCTTCTTACTTCTAGACTAATGGCTCARCTTCTTAGGTGTTTGTTGTTGCTTCTCATGCTCTGCTGCCTGACAGAATGAAGTGAAGTCTAAGGACRGAATGGCCCACAACATCTGTGACCTGCTACGTTTTCCAAACATCCGATGGATCTCTGTCACGCTGTGGCTGATCTGGTGAGTCTCCGCTGTCCCAGCTTGCTTTCGCATTCCGCACAACTGTGCACGTGCACACACATGCATTCACACGTGCACACACACACTCAAACRTTCACAAACAGTCAGATGAATAATGACCTGTTTGTTTCTGTGAAACCTGTAGTTAAGATCAAAGTTAAATTTTATGTTCTTGAAAACATGTTTTCATGCATTGCAGTCTAATAAAAAGAATCACTAGCTGGCATGTTTATCTTCTGTTATGGGAATAGGTAAACAACTTACTCAAATGTGTTTTTGTGATCACATTATCTCAATATTAATCACTGGAAACGATTTTAATGAAACTTTCATAAATTCATCATTGGTTGAACGTCTACAACTGATAGTTTTTTGGAATCAGCTTTTTTAAAATTTCAGTTGGAACCTCCAAAATGACAATAATYCAATCAATTTTACAGATTTACTACCAAGTTCTTCTCATTGTATAAGATCCCTGCCTAAATTGTTGGCATTAACAATTGGATTCAATCCTGTTTTTCTGGTAGCAAATTATTTCATGAACCATTGGACAATTTTTATTGAATGTTTAGAAAGGGAATCATTGAATGTACATCAACTCAACCTTTGGAGCCAATCCAGTTTGAGATRGTTGCTACAGACAATTTACATTGGCCAACAAAAATAACTCAATCAGCTAAGGTTTGATGTGGTAGGAGCTTCATGAAATATTCTGATACTGCATGAGAYTGTACTTTTCTTTSTTTCTTTTTTTTGTCCAAAGCTTAACCAAAATGGAAGCAAGTTTGTCGTTTTGCATTAACGGGATAATGGTTTAAAACTATCAGGAAAGGTCACCTATAAAGGCGTTTGATGTTAGGCCTTTAATTGATTGTGCAGCTTTTGTTTGCAWAAGACGTCTACTAATCCCTTGTAAGTCTAATAAAATGAGTCAARGTAAAATAATTACCCTTATTTTCACTTTTTGAAACTGACAAGATGCAAACTTGTTGGACCAGTTTAGACACTTGACTCTGGGATCTAAATACAATCCTAGAGAAGCGTAGGGTTTCAGGAGGAGCTCTAAGTTTGTCAAAACAAATCAAAAAAGGGCAGTTAAATATTTTTTGCTTTAGGTTGAGAAATTTTATTCTTAAATTGTAAGTTTTCTTACAAATGACATACTTCAGAGAATGCAAAGAAAAATTTAAAAGTAACGAGTTTATTTGACATCAATATTGTGTTCCTTGGTAATAAAACTTGAACTTAATCATGCTTGTGTAATGCACATTAATAAGTGTCTCATAATTTGTTCACTGTGTTTTGATGTATCCCTGCAGGAATACCCTTACCATCGGCTACTTTGCTCTTTCCCTGAATACTGGAAACCTCCATGGAAATGCTTACTTTAACTGTTTCCTGTCAGCTTTAGTGGAGATGCCGGCCTATGGTTTGTCGTGGGTTATGTTTCGCTGGTGTTCCAGACGACTGAGTCTTTCCTCATCACTCTTTGCCGGGGGAGTGTTTCTACTCATCACACAGCTTGTACCAGCACGTAAGACAAATTACATCATTTAACACTGGTTTTATACAAAATTTAAGAGATAGTCTCTATTTTTGAAGTGATGTTTTGCCAGATAGTTATTATTAGTACCATTCRAGCTGAAGCATCAGTCAGAGTATGGAAAAGATGCTAATGACTAGCCCAGTTTCTTTATATTTACTTTTATTGCATTTCAAGCGTCTTAAAACATTCTGTTTTAAAAGTGACAGTGGTGTGAAGGAAGACGACATTAGATAATATGAAACCTCTACACTTTTATATGACAGTTTAAGTTTGTTGATGCTTTCTCAACTGAGCTTTTGCTAAAGTGTAGAGGTGTAGTTCTAACTAATGTAATGTTCTTTTACTCTGGATGAAAACTTCTGCCYTTTTCTTCATACTTCCTGCTGCTAAAYTTAATGTCACTCCTGATAAGATACTAAACATTAACTATCTTACTACAAGACATAACATCATTTCTAAAATGAACAGGCTGTTCTTTAAGTCATACTGTATAACCTCTGATGGTTATGTGTTTCTTTCCCTGCAGACTTGTTTTTTCTGTCCACAACATTTGAGATGATGGGGAAGTTTGCGGTGTCAACAGCGTTTGCTGTTGTGTACGCCTACACGGCAGAACTCTACCCGACGGTGCTGAGGAACACTGCTGTTGGCGCCTGCTCCATGGCCGCCAGAATTGGCAGCATCATTGCTCCATATTTTATTTACCTAAGTAAGCTCCATCACTTCCACCGTTCAAGTTTTTCTTTTCAGCTCATGATTTGTTCCAGTTGGTTAAAATAAATAAATAAATAAATAAATAAATAAATAAATAAATAAATAAATAAATAAATAAA